GCGCTGCGCAGCGGTGAGCCGAGAGTGCGCCTCGGACAGGAGGAGGCTGTGCCTGCCGAGGGGGACCCTGTCCTCCAGGGAGGGGACCTGTGCCCATCGGAGAGGAGGCTGCGCCCGGGGAGGTGAACCGTGTGCCGGGCCGAGGGGACCTGTGTCCCGGAGAGAGGGGATCCTGTACCCCGGGAGGAGACCTTTGGCCCGCAGAGGGGAGGCTGCGCCCTGAAAGGGAGACCCTGTGCCCCGCCAGGGGCAAGCTGAGCCCCGGGATGGAGATCTTGTATCCTAGAGAGAGGACCTGTTCCCAGCAGAAGGGAGGCTGCTCCCGGGGAGGAGACACCTTGTGTCACTCTGAAGCTGCGCCCGGGGATGGGGACCCTGTGCCCTGCAGAAGGGACCATGTGCTTGGCAGAGGGGAGGCTGCGTCCAGAGAGTGGATCTTGTGTCCTGCAAGAGGGGACCTGTGCTGAGCAGAAGGGAGGCTGAGCCCGGGGGTGGGAACCCTGTGCTCCGAGGAGAGGAAGATGTACCAGGGGATGGGGACTTGGTGCCCTGCAGAAGGGACCATGTGCTTGGCAGAGGGGAGACTGCGCCCAGTGGAGGGGGACCGAGTGCCCCGCAGAGGTGAGAATGCGTCACAGGGAGGGAACCCTGTCACCTGCAGATGGTACTCGGTACTCCGAGGAGGGAGACCCTAACCCTATGCCCCTCACAGGGGAGGCTGTGCCCTGTGGAGAACACCTTGTGTCCTGCAGAGGAGGCTCTGCGCTTCCAGGGTGTAGACACCGTGACCTGGGTAAAGGAGGCTTCTTTTTGGTGGTCCGTGCCCCTCCCGAGGGCTCGGAGTCCACATGGGGCACCGTGCGTGCGCCTGGGTGACGAAGTTCCGAGTGCCCCGATTGCCCGACATCTGCTGCTGTGGGAGCCATCTGGGACATTAGGGGCTGGAGGTGAATTTTGACGCGCTCGCATAGGTGGTAGGAAAATCACTGTGTGGTGACTGTGTGTGAGAGAAGGTGTCCGATGGGGATGAGGACGCTAGACTGTAGTGGTACTGGAGTTGCCTGCCGGCGACCAGGAATGTATTTCGTTCTGGGTTTATTCAGGGAGTATCAGCACCGTTGTGTCTGGTTGGACGTTACTGTTTTTAGTTATCAGGTTTAGGTTGTCACTTCTGATGGGTTGTCACATCTTTTCCCTTCTTTTGAAAACCATTGCTGCATTCTATTCTGGAAGTATAATGAAAAGTGGCCTGATAGCAACTTGCTTTTTTACTGTAATTGTAGTTTTTTTTTTTTCCTGAGGTTAGAAATAATGTATTAACCCTCTTTGTACCTTTGAAAGGAAGCTGCATTTTGCAAAACTGTTTTTGTTTCAAGAGCAGTTTCTAAAAGCCAGCTGTTTCTTCCTTTCTTGGGGATGAAACTTCTTTACCCTCTTTGCTTGAGAAGGTTCCCTGGAGGGGGGGGGGGAAGGAGGCAGAAGGTTGGTTAGTACAACTCCTTTTGGAAGGACGGAATTAATGGCCCCTTGGTACAGGTTCCTTTAAGGGGCAGATTCACAGCATGCGCACCCCACAACAGGGGCTTGATAAATATTGGATGAGACACACTGGGCTGGGTGCTGTGATCCCACAGCAGTGGAGAGGTGGAATTCACAGGCTTTGAAAGGAATGTGTTCTCCATGCCTGTTAGATGTCAAGGGGTTTCAGAAACTGGGCACATTCAGTTGCTTCTGCATCGGCTGTGAAGCTCTGCTTGGAAGGATCCAAGGAGACCTTCCTGCAAGGACAATGGTGAAGAGAGAATTTAATGACGTATATCTTCCATGATGTGTTCATTCAATCATTGCTGGTAGGCCAAGGCAAGAAATAACATCATCCTGAAAACACATCTTGGCTCATAGGCAAACCCACTTCTTTGTGAATTTATATGCTGTAAAGCATTTAGACTGTTTTAGAAAGTTTGGAATTAAAAAAAAACAAAACATTTAAACAGTCTTGTCCTGTAAATGAACAGTTTCCAAGTGGTCATGTGCTAGATACAGGCACAGTACAAAAACCCACTGACGTTTGCCTTATTAATCACTTTAATAGCACTAACATTTTGAGATAAAATTATAATATTTGCAAAAGTATAAAACTTTAGCTTTTAGGTTTAAAAGCTTAAGTGTACATATGATACATTCAGGAAGGCACACAATTCATGTGTACCTAATACATCCAAAAGGCACAACAGAATAGGCTCAACTTCATTTCTATCTATACCCCACCACTCACCTATATAATATATATGTCTATGTAAACTTATATATAAATTTTTTATATAGTTTTTTTCTGGTACTGGGGAGTGAGTGAACCAAGAGCCTGACACATGCTAAGCAAGTGCTTTACCACTCAGTATATCTCAGCCTTGAGAAAAGGTCTCACTAAATTGCCTAAACTGACCTTGAACTCACTCTCTATGTAGCTCAGGTAGGCCTTGAGTTTTCAGTTCTTCTGTTATAGGCTCCCCAGTATCTGGAATTATGTCAGCTTTTAAATTAATAGTGTTTTAAAGTTTCCATTAACAGTGTAACAGCAGGGTTCTTATTTATACCTGGGCACAAGGAAGACCTGATCATAGTTTTTTAATCCCAAATTCCTTTATCAGTAGGTTGTATTTAAGAACTGGATTTTATTGCATTGATTGCTGTAATTATCCATGTAAATGCATAGGACCAGAGAATATTGTTTAAGTAACTAGGATATTATCTAGAAACAACTTTTAGAGATTGTAGTCAGTGAAGTTATACAAACATCAGGGAAATGATCAAAGTTAGTATGAAAGCTTGAAGAGGTTCAGTTCTACTGGAAAACTCGATGGCTTTCTGTGTCACTTTCTAACATAAGAATTTCCAAAGTCTATAGTTTGTGAGGGAAATGGTTAGGCTTAAAACCCTTATTTAATATGTTCATAGTATATGACATAGAATAAATAACTAGCAACAATTTCACTTAAAAAGTATCTACTAAGCGGGGTGGTGGTGGCACATGCATTTAATCCCAGCACTCCGGAGGCAGAGGTAGGCAGATCTCTGTGAGTTCGAGGCCAGTCTGGTCTACAAAGCTACATAGAGAAACCCTGTCTTGAAAGACAAAAGAACAAACAAACAGAAAATTATCTACTAAATCAGTGGTTCTCAACCTTCCTAATGCTGCAACACCCATGTTGTGGTGACCCCCCCCAACCATAAAATTATTTTTGTTGCTACTTCATAACTTTAATTTTGCTAGTTATTAGTTGTAATGTAAATATATGATATGCAGGATATCCAATATGTGTCCCCTGTGAAAGGGTCGGCTCCAAAGGGGTCATGACCCACAGGTTGAGAACTACTGCACTAGATTAATTAAGATTTCTTCCTTATTCCTTAGTGACTGTCTTTCTCAAGGAATAGATGAAGAAGGAGCCGTAACCAGACCAACAGAAATCTTTACCTTGCCTTCCACTGTGTTAGGATCATTAAAATCAAGTTGTTGATGCTTTCTTTTAAACAATTAGATAATACTGCCTATTCTATATATATGTGGTGCTCCAGGAGTATGTATGCCAGTGACTTTGCTTTCAGGCATGATGAGTTGAGTTCAGATGAAGCAGGAAGGAAATGAAAGTAGCTTACAGGTGCCTGGTAAATGTTGAAGAACGGAGTGGAAGCTGTTGGCTCTAGATCAGTGATTTTCTAACTGGATGCTGTTTATTCTCGTTGGTGGTTCCTGTGCTGCAGGTCACTGTCTGAGTGAACCTGATGAGGCTAGTCCTGCTCACCTAGTGTTCTCATTATGGGAACAGTGGAATGGTAAGCAAGAGTAGACTAATGCCTGTGCACCATGAAGGGCAAAGGAAGAAGGGGTAGGTGAGATAGAATAGCTATCCAAGGAGTGTGGGCATGTGTTTGGCAACAGTCTGATGCAGCCTTCCAGGCAGAGGAGACTCTCGGGTAAAGGCCTTGACATGTGTTGTTAACATCAGGGAGCCATTGTGGTCAGAAAGGGAGGGAGAATGTCAGGAAATGAGGCTGGAGAGGTGGGGAGGGCTGCTTCTTGCTGGAGTATAGAGGCTGTGGTTAGGGATTTAAATTTTAATCCCAGAATGATGGGAGGTCTTAGGAGGGCTGGCCTGCCTGCTCTTCCCCCTCCCCCCTTCCCTTTTAGAGAGTTTTGAACATGATAGGGAAGGACATGATCTGGTTTATCTTTCAAAAGAATCATTCTGGCTTGTGGATTTCTAGGAGCTTGTCATGTGCCTAGGCTGTTCCACATACTTGATATCTGTAGGCTCAAGCAGCTGACAGCCCAAAAGGTGGACATTATTACTGCTCAGCGTTTC